ATAGCTGTCAAAGACAAAGACAAATGTTTAGTCAAAATCTAAAAAGGTCACATTTTCTTCCCGACAATTTCACGTTAGCTAAAGGTCTGGTAAGCTGAACATCRTCATTTCTCCTGGAAACACGTCTGCTAAATCAATAAAGATGAAAWGGTGTGAAAGATTTCCAGCCTGATATTCCCTTCAATAAAACTGCAGTGTTTTACATCTTAAAGCCCCCTTCTATCTCCCTTTTTAACAACCAAAATATCTCCAAGCACTGGTAATTTCTGACARTTTTAGGTGGACTCTTTTTTCTCCCCTGATTAATTAACCTTGCCCTTTTCACCGGGTCTGTTTCCTGCGGAGATTGGGAACAACCTTATGGACGGCTGAGCACATTTGAGCTTTCCTGCACCGCACACCGTTCCTTTGAGACCCAGCAGGGCTTCATTTACCACAACTCATTTGCATCTCTAATTACACGTTGATGCTCAAGCCTTTCCTGCGCAGTTTTTGCCGGCTGTGAGCAGAGGGCGCCGTCGGCAAAGCTTTTCCTGGCTTTGGGTGGGAGCTGCGGGGTGATGCCCACGAAAAGGATGGATCAAGGATGGATCCTCCCGTGGGCAGAGGGATCCCCGGGGAGCGGGGGATGCATCAGGAGCCGGGCTGATGCTGGCGATGCGCTGAGCTCTGCTGGGTTTGAGCACGAAGGAAAAGCAGCTGCTAAATCTGTCCCGTGAAAGGACGCAGAGCTGTCAACCAGAAATGGCTGTAATGGAATAAATWTTTGGTTGTGCTGAAACTCCGTTCTGCTGGAGCAGCCGGTGTCAGGGAATATCCACTGCACTCAGGGCTACTCACAGWCCAACCCATCAAATAAAGTGTGTGCTGATTGTGAGTTTCTGATTTCTGGCACGGCTGGTAACAAAGAATTATCATTCAATAGTGTTCTGTTGCCTGCAAAGAAAATTAGGCATTGTCCCAAAAGCAGAATTTTTCTTTTCAGAACCCTGCTGTGACTGCTGCTTCCCCCACCAGCTGCAGGTTTGCTTTGGGGGGGGAAAGGACTGAACCTCAGGAACATCCTGAACCTTGGGGTTGTGAAACAGGGCAGGAAATTGGACTTTTTTTGCAGAATTAACAGTTGAACTCCAAAATACCACAGGCTGCTTGGCTCAAAATATTATGATATTTCTACTTCCTGACCAAAGCAGATGGTGCTCAGTTATACAGAAAAAAAAAAAAAAAAAAAAAAAAAAAAAAAAAAAAAAAAAAAGAAGAAGAAGAAGCTAACCAAAACACTTCTACTCCTTCCAACGGTCACTATGTGCTCTCTGGATCGTGCTTCCTCTCCTATTTAAATAGAATTGGTTCATCAATCTATTACTGGAACAGCATGTATCATCGTGCAGCAAGAGGAAGAATTGCAAATTATTGATGCCACTCTTGTTCCATAGAAAGAAAATARGAATGTTAGTAGGGAAAAAAAATGTGTTTATGCTGGAGTGGAACAAAACAACAAAGCTGTTTAATTTTCTTTTCAGGACATATTAATGATTTTCAGTCATTAATTGAATATCCTCCCAAAACACAAGAAAATCTGAGGTTATGAAGCAAGAGATCATGAACAGCGCAAACAAAAAAAAAAAATCATATTTTTATCTGAACATTGAAACAGGTGATAAGCAGGACTATAAATACAATATTTTATGTCAGTCTTTTGTGCTATCACTACTAAGACAAAACCATAAATGGCAAGAGCAAATATTAAAGAAATCACTTACTCTTTGGTTTCTTACAAATAAAACCCTTTTGGGAAGAGCAAGGCAGGAAACTCCAGAACCCTGTGGATGCAGACAGCTCCACGCAGAAATCCAGCTCGTCCCCTGAGGGCTGCCCCTCACCCCAGTTCACAAAGTCCAAGGCACTGTTGTCCTGCCAAAGCAGCTGCCCTGGTGTTGCAAATGTTGGTATCAATATAAATAGACCCACAGGAAAGGTCTTCACCATAAACATAATACTACTTTCCAGCAATACTACTCTCTCCAAAAATTCAATATGTGGTTGTTGTCTAAAAACAAATATAATTGGTGTCCCAAATAATGATTTGCAGATTTCTCAGTCATAACTTGGTTTTAATATCTATTTCTCCATGGTTTTGCTTAGAATATTAAAGTTTCAAACCAAAAAAAGCTAAATTCCAACTTAAAAAAAATTTCTAAATTATTATTTCATCAGCACTCAATGAAAATTAAGCAGCTTTTACTGTAATGCTTCAACATATGTTTAGTTAAGGTTAAAACTCTTTTTTCATAAACCCATTAAAAAATTGATGTTTCAGTGGGCTGAAAATAATCTAAAATGAAATCCTTTCTGACTGCTTGTAATTTGATAACAGYGTTTTCTTCCAGTTGCATGTTTTCTACTGCATGCTTTAGCAAGCAGCTTCATTTTCTCCATGCAGAGTAGCAGAGGATCTTGATGCTGTGGGCTCTGGCTGGACTCCCACAGGTCACTCATGAGTATTCCCCAGCTGTAAGAGGATGAGAGACAGCCAGGACTTGTTCCCCAACAGGACAAACTTTCTCAGAGACCAGGAATAGCAGACATYCTCAGAGAGGACTGAGGTCTGAACTTCTACTGTGCTTCAATTGGTTGCTTAAAACCAATCAATATTATTATTATTTTTGTCCCTTTAATAAAGCCTGTTTATGATTATTTATAGAACTCAGAATAGTTACCATTTACATTTCTGTATATTCCTATCCAAAAGCCRCTTGTCTTGCTTGTGTATAAGTCAGCATGTTCTGTTAAAAAGTTTGATTCATTCTCATCTTCTACAGAAGTCAGCATACCACCTATAAAAAAAAAACAATGGAAGGTGATTGGAGATATCCCCARTATAGCTGCAGCTTTTGAGGTAGGTTAAGGTTAATTAAAAACCCTTTATTGTAGGTAGAGAGTAAACAGGAATTTAAATAGAGACAGCAAGGTAGTGTCCAGCTGTTGGGGACAGCACAGACAGTGAACGAAGTCATCTGAAGTGAAAGATGCAAAAGCACAGTGAAGATGATGACTTCTAAACACCAGGCAAAGTGCACTATGTTTTCAAATGGTTGGATGATATTTTTCATAGGAATTATGGGTTATTTATAGGAATTATGGGTTATTTATTTGTTCTTCATAGTTTGACAGAATAATATGTAGCTTGAAATGTTAAGCAACAAACAAATTTTCAGTTCAAAATGACGTTATTCATTTTTTTCTGGCAGTAGTGGTAGAGTAAGAGGGCTAATATGATTAAAAAAAAAAGAAATGAAACAAAGGATCCACTTCTTTTCTCTTTCCCAGCCTCCTGAGGCATGGATGAGATAGTTGATGACACAGTAGCAAAGGTGAAAGTGTGCCAAGGTGCTGCTCCTGGTCTTGGCCAAGAACAGATGTCTCCAAGGAGAGGGAGGGAGGTGTTTTTCCTTTTCCAGAGCCTCTCTGGGCTCTGCAGTCTGCCAGAGAGCCTTGCTGATAGAGCAAGGGCTTCCAGGCAGCACATGCAGCCCTTCTGCATCACAAAGCTGCGCTAGAAATGAGTGATTATTGTTACAGTCTTTATTTTGCCTATTGTGTGGGGAGAGAAATGGAAAAAAAAGAAGGGATAAGGCCAGAAACAAGCAAGGTTTWAAAAAATTGCATWAAATTTAACATCTTACTAAAAGRAGAAATTTTGTGAATGAAGAAACAAAGGAACAAGAAACAAGCACAGCTGGAAAAATAAAACAAGGAAATCTGATCACCRTAAATTAAACATAACTGAAAAGCACATAACAGTAAAAAATAAATGAGATATTTATTCYTTATTTGTAGATTTTGCATTATTACTTTTCAAGATTTTTTTGAAGACTCCGTTCTTCTGTCAAGATTGAAATCCTGTAATTACCTGATAGAATGCACTGAGTCACAGAATTACCCCAGCTCATTTCATTGACATTGAARTTATAGCAGTGGCTTCGGAAAGGAATCCAAGATATGTGATCAGATTCAGGACATGTTCCAATACCCTGGGGAGGGTCAGAAGGAAGCACATCTAGAAGAAATCAGATGTTATAGATGCTTTCATTCTGTAAGATTGCAGTTATTCATACATGAACCCAAGTGTTAAAACCACCTTTACTTAAAGGTACTTGAAGTATTCTTTGGCACACACTGCTGGAATTATCAGKGTCCAAGTCAAGAGAGATAATCAGGAGCAGGACTGGTCAGCCACAAGAGGATGACTCAGTGTGAACTTGTGCTCTTCTGGGTTACTAACTAAATCAAACTTGGACTGTCTCAAGGATATTTGAGTGTTCAAGGATTTTGATTCTAATTTAATTTTTTATAACCAACAAATTTATACAAAGAAAAGAAGCATTAAAGTAGAAAAAAAGCAGAAAAGAACCCCTAGAATCTCTTAAGAAGTTCAMATAAGTTTGATGTTAAATGAAATATCATATAAACCCTGTAGAAACCTGTAGAAAACCTGTAGTTTACTGTAGAAATTTCCCACTGAATATTTTCCTCAAGATAACAATCCTTACATAAAATTTCTGAACTTCTTTAAATAAGATAAAACATGGAGTAATCTGAGGCTCATTGAATATGTGTGTAGTAGCTCCTCATTTTCCTGCAAGCAATTATGGAAAGAAAAAGCAGCATTTTCACTGAGTACATGTGTTTTTAAAACAAAAGTTGCAAATTAATAGCTATGAAGTTCAGAGCATGGCCTAGAAAAGAAATTAAAAAGCAACTGGCCAACAAACCACAACCCCTCCAAGCCAACACCAAAATGAACCAAAACAAACAAACAACCCACCCAAAACCTTCAAAACAGCCTGAATTTCCATTAAGAGATGTTGCTCTTAACACAAATGAAAAAGCAAAAATCTCAGTCCCATCCTGGGGTTTGTCTGTAGATTTTACTGTGTAGCATTCCTCAGTGGTACCCACAGAAACCCTGAGAAGTATGAACTTTTGTTTGGGCTAAAAAGGGACCCTTTATTTTTTGGAGACAACTCTCTCCTTTATCCAGTTTTTGTAATCTAATAGCAATCAAGCAATAACCAGTGTAGGAATGATTTCTATATTGAGGAAACAAAATTTACTTTGTACTCAGTGGACTTACACTGATCACAGACCTCCCCATAAAGCCCCTGTCCAAAAAACATGTTACATTCTAGAATCCATGKAAAATGTTTAGTGCTCCCACAATCTCTGTGATCTGTCTGCCTGCTCCCATACCAGCTATCAYTCCATTCCAGTAAAATGGCAGGATCTTGGCTGGTGAATCACAACTCCATCAAAATAAAACATTGTTCATGCAAAATAAAGGTGTGGAMATTACATGCTCAAGCTTAGTCTTCCTTAATATATGCTTACAAATTTGTAATTGAGTCAAAGCAAGGTTTCTGCCATAAAAACAAAAGTCATCACCATAAAAAAACTGAGCTTACCCTCAGTTTTTTTGCATACAGGAAAATGTTTTTCATTACAAGGTGCTGTTTTCCAGTTGTCAGAAAGTGACAGATAGACACAGGCTCTTTTCTSTTTTGGTTCTCCATAGTCCCACTTMGAAAAACTTACTTTCCTTTTATTGGTCCATCTATAGTAGCCATAATTCTAAAATTGAAACAGACATTTAGCATAAATTTYCTTTTCTCATCTGCTGTTTCAGACAAATGGAGTTAGACAGAAGCACGTTTTCAAAGTGATATAGACAGCTCAGTTTGTAGATTTGTGTTAGTACTGTTAAAACACTTATTGAATCAGGACTCAGCAGCATAAAAACAGGACACAGCAGTAYGGCTCCCATGCTGGAACTGCCCATGGAAATGTTTTGAAGGCTGAATAATGCTCCTTGGGGACTCAGTCCTTGTTGGGCAATGTTGTGAGGTGGAATCACCATCCCAGAGGAGTCAGAACTCCAGGAAGAGCTACACAACCTTAGCACATGGAACCTGTGGAAAGCTCAGGTGGAAATGGGTCTTAGAGTTGGCTATCAAGCAAGGATACTAAGCTCCAGCATTTTCAAKGAGAAACACTCAGGACTAAACTGCAGCTATCTTTATGAAAAATCTGAGAAAATTTTTACTTTGTAAGAAGAAAAAAGGAAATACATTAAGCAGGAATTCTTGAGTTGTTGTTTCGTCTTCCCTCCTCTCCTTTTTTTCTTTTCTGGGAAGAATCAGAAGAATTACAAGGAAAAGTGAACAGACACAGACAGTACACTGCTGACATTAGGAAGAATGGGGTAAGATGTGATCTCACTCTCTCYAGATGTGTGTCTAGTTGTGTCAAGAGAGACACCAGGTACACAAGGTCACACTGAGCTCATCATAATCATGGCAAGGTCACTCACTGCCTGGGGGAAGCACAAAGCTTGACTCTGAAAGAGCAAGGATAACTCACTTATTAGACCAACAAATGTCTGGTGATTTAAACTTGATCAAAATTGAGTTTTAGCTGCTTTGTAAATCATATTTCTATGGCTCTAAAAGCAACCAACTTCAATATCAGGTGGACTTAAACACTGTTATTTTGGTTTGAGTAGAGATGCCCTGTGGACTTGTGCAGGTGGAAGGATTTATTTTAAGGCTGGTGACACCCATCACTTACATGAACATTTTGTCTCGTATAGTGACACACACTTATAATATAAGTTATAATAGTGGAAATAGTGGAAATATGTGCTTTTCAGCAACAATTATCATACAATGTAGCCTTCTGAGGGGCTTTATCAGGGTGTTGCTGCATCATAAAATCAGAAATGTTATTTTTGCACAGTATTTATTATAAATATACCTAGGGATACTGAATTTCAGACATGTTTTTCTATGCTATATAACAGTGTGGTACCACAATTAGTAAAAACAATTAATAGTTAAGATGATTATTACTGATGAAAGAGTTCATTTTTATTATCAAGGCAATTTAGTCAGATCAAAGAACAAAGCAATAGAGACACAATAGTTGAGCGCATTTGGCAACTGCGTATTCACCAGGGAAGCTGAAGCTCAATTTGTCACTCAGTCACAGAGCTAATAAGACCAATTCTCACTCAAGTGTTCCCTGACAAAGTGGATTGGATCTCASTATTCACTGCTTCTGGTACAATACAGCTTTTACTGATTTTAATCATTAGGACCCAGCAGGTGTAACAAGGAGTGTGTGTTCAAAGGTGGTCGATGAACCCCTCTGAAACAAAATGTAATGGAAAAGCTGCAGCTGCCATTGATCATGAGGCACCAGCCCAACTGACCATCGTGGACACTTTGAGCAGGGGGGTCACCTGTCCTAAAAATAGCCATCTGAAAGTTTGCCATGTATTTTGACCTAAGTGTCTAAGATTCACACAGAACTAGTAAAATGAGTTTAGCAGCACCCAAAGTTCTTATCCTTCTCCATTCCCTAAGATGAGGTTTAATGATTTAAGATAGTGAGAAACCAGTCCTAGRTTTCTGAATCTGTTCATGCTACATTTCTCCCTACTAACAGTAACCCAACCACAGCATTTAACTGCACCAACTAAAAATTCATGAACCTTACCACATTGCTGTTGAGCCCAATCCATAAAGGCTCTCCATACTGCAGTGCCTGCAGCATCAAGAATATATTACTGTAATGATCAAAAATGCTGGCAAGCTCTGAAGATTTCTCCTTGCATGCTTTTCTCGCTTCTTCCCAATTCATTTTAGAAGGAATGATTAAATAGCTGTTGTTGCCATAGTGGACAAAATCTCCAGAAACTGGAGCACTTGTGGAGTGAAACAATTCAGGCTCTGCAGGAAAGAGGTAGAAATTTGAGAGGAAGAGGAGAAAACAACGAAAAGTTACTAGGTGCTGGATAGCAGTACCATTTTTGAGTAACAGGTGAATACAGTGTGGCAGCACAAGCATCAGGTAACAGCATTTTGTACTTAAAGCCCAGGAGATTTATTTTAATGGCAATTTGGATTTATTATAACTATGGTGTAAATACACATTCAGGGATTAGGGAGAGGCAGAGAATGATCCGTGTGTATCTATAGACATATACTGGCCAGATGTAATTAATTATGTGAAATGGTCMCACCATGATCCTCACTCAGAGTTCTCCATGTTCCCCCACCTCAGTGAGGAAGAAGTTCTTCCCAGGCATGACCACAGAACGGAATCTCCTTACCACTTCAATCTCAAAATAGTTTAATTCTAAGCAAAGTTTGTGACCCTGCTGCCACACTTTTCCCTTCCAGGATGAAGTGAAAAAGAAAACTGTATTTGTACGCAGAATTGGAAGGCAAAGGCCTAGAGCTAGTGATGGGGACAGAAAAAAAGACACAAACTGTCTTTGTGCTCAGTCACTGTTGAGGACACCCTGGGAACTGTTTTTCCTAGTGCCATCCTCATGCAGCTTTCTGCTCTTTCTGCTCTCACAGGGCAGGGCTGTGAATCTTTTGACCCAGCTGTGGCTTCTTCCTCTATTCTCGCTTGCTGCTCAGCAGTTCCCTCTTTTTGTTCCTGCAGACTCTGCAGTGTAGCTGTGCTCCGGATGTGTCTCCCACCCTGAGGCTACGTGAAGAAAACTAGAACTTTTCCCCTCCTGAGTATTGTTGTTCTTGTGATTTGAAGACCTTTCTAGAGACTGACAAGCAAACTGATCAGTTTAATTGACCTCAGTTAACCCCCAGTTGGAGGTCACCRATGGATTTGGTTTTCTGTATCGTATTTGCAAAACAACCGGACTCAGGCACCTGTATGTCTGATAGCYGGGTAAAGCACAGATGACTAAACTTTTCTGTTAATAAATAGGCATTTTGAAGGCATAGTTCTTCTAGGAAGCTGGTTTTGAGCATCTTTCTTCTCATGAGGCAGGTGAATCCTGCCTTCCAAGTGTCTCGGTGCCACATGCAGGCACCTGATGTGAGTGTGGATGTCTGCAGGGCAGCTGAGCTCGGCTTCTCTGAGAGTTGGTGGGTGTGCTGATAGGGGGGAACTTGTAAAGCAAAATGTTTTCTATAGACTTCATCCCAGAGTGGCTTTTTATCTGAAATTCCTAAGCTGTGAAAGTAGCCCTGTTTTCTTCACCCTGCCTGCTGCAGCCACAGCTGAGCACTTACAGCCAAGGAATGAAATGGTTGGATTGTTCAGTAAAGTTTCGAAATGAAAGAGAAGTGAAAAATAAAACTTACTGCTGTCCATCTGGCAAAGGTAGCTTTTTTTATGCTGGCAGTCAGTTTCTTCCCATAATCCTGCTTCATCTACAGATCTTTCTGTCATTGCAATACAGTCCGTCTAGGGGAAAAAAAAAAAAAATTGATGCTGACAGTGCAAAATTCCCAGAAAAATAATAGGAGGAGAAGATGTTAATAGCTTTCTTTTTTTTTTTTTCTTTTCTAATGTTTTTATTTTCATATATTGCTTCTTGAAAATTAAATGCATATTATATACCTTAAACAAAAGTACTTTCATTGGCAGACTGCTGCAAGAAATTTTGTCTTAATTAATTAAATAGTTAATTAATTAATTAGTTAATTAATTAATTAATTAGTTAACTAATTAATTAATTAGTTAATTAAAATTCCTTGGAATGTATTGAAGTTATTTTTATTATGTAGTTAATGGTGTTAATCTGTAGTGAATTTGTTGAAGTTTCATTTGGATTCAGGCCATACAAGGAAAAATAATGAACCAGAGTAAAAAACACAACTAAAAGCACTGAATATTTTTGRTAAAATACAATAATTCTAATGAGTGTAATTACTTCTAGCAGTAAAGATAGTAMAAAATTCCTTTTCTACAGTTCTAGTCTCTGACAAAGGAATGAGAGTAAGTGGAGATTTTAAATAGGCCTATTAATTCCAGAGTACAGCTGAAAAATTGATTTTTCAAATATTCAGTTCCTTTCTGCTTTAASCTCTTGAAAATAAGATCTTAGTTGACACAAAAGATGGGCTGGTTACTCGAACCTTGAGTGTTATTTATGTTATGCATTTTCTCATTTATTTCTGTTTACCTTTGTTTCAGTAAACTCATTAAACACCCTGTGGTATTTACCACGGAGTGGAAATCCTCTTCCCCACTTTGTATAGTCAAAAGCACTTCCATCAGTCCAGAGAAACATATACCCATAGATAATGCTATTCAGACCGATCCATGTGTCGTTGGCAACATCCTTTAGGTGGAAGGTGAGGAAGGCTGATAGAAAATGGATTAAAAATTAAAATTAAAGGTAYCTGAAGAGTTTGCTTTCTTTAAATTCCATGTAAATCAAATTACAAATAAAACAATCACTCATCTAATAAAACTGTTGGGCATATCAACTTCAGTATTGTTAGACCATGAGCTAACGATAAAAGAGAAAAGTTGCAATGGGTAATTGGACTGAAGCTGTTTGATTTCAGGAAAAAGAAAAGGAAGAAAAAAGGAAAAWTTTTTTAGAAAAATATTGTTTCAGCTTCTTGGAAATATTATGGAAGTCCGTGCTAGAACTGACTTCAAGAGAATTAAATGGTCTTTCCCAAGGCAACATCAGCTGCATGCATRTAATTTCTGATATTTGTTTACTATCCTACTTGAATATCTGTAAGTATTTCATGACTATAAACTATTACACTTTATCCCATCTTCCAAGGCCATGGGGAACAGATTATTCTGTTCCTGCCACATGACACTCTTGCCAGAAKTTGGAAAGTGTCATAATATCTTACTCCAGTCATCTCTCTGGATCAAAAACCTCCAGGTCTTCCTTTTTAGGTTATGATCTTTAGATCTAGAGGTCAGTTCAGACTCATCATTAGAAGATGAAATGCGCTGCCTTCATACATAGTGCTAGAAGGTTCAGAAGTCATACCTTGCACTTTATTATTGTGTATAGAGGCCAAATTTCCCCCCAATTCTCTACAAACATTTCTTGCTGAGTGCCAAGATAGTCTCTCGTCTTCTCTGGAGCCAAATATTTTATAACACTGTGAAGAGAGTAAAGGATTATGCAGAATTTCAGGTGTCAGAGAGTATTAAAACCACGGATTTGAATTCATTCAGTGCTAGTCCCTGCATGCAAAGGGCAGCAGATGGGGGATCTGCTGTAACACAAACACTGTTCTCCAGAAAGGAGACCCAGCCAATCCCAGCAATATATGCCCAGTATTTACAAACCTGTGSGGTCACTTCTGGGCAAGAGCAGAGAACCATTGAAAGCTTTTGAGGAATTAAATTACTGAAAAGTAGAATTTTTGAAGGACTGGAACTGTTTCCTGATTGGGAACATAATTCGGAGCAGGTAATAATCTCTCAGGTCAAGTTCTTTCAATTATACATGGCAGATGGAGTGCTAAAACCTGAGCTCATGCAAGAACTCACGTGAGTAGAATAGCATGGGGAAGAAATGCCCTTTTGTGTGGTGTATTAATAATCCATGGGGTGGGTTTGTTTTTTTTTCTGAAGACGAGTGTAAAATATTTTTTGTGTGGTTGCGTGTCTTCTGAGGGACAGAAGACATGACTCTTCCCTTTTCACACCCTTTGGATGCATAAAGTCTTTTCCCATTGATTGCATTGTGGGACTGATTTGTGATTTTCCTCTATTTTTTGTTTGTTGGGGTTTCTTAAAGTTCATATTTCCAGGGTTTTTTGCTTAACTTAGCAGAAAGCAATGTTTGCTTGCTTTTTATATTTGATTTGRCATTTATTGATGYTTGTGTTACTCARCTTAAGATGAGTTGCTGAGACAGCYGATTACTTGTGGAAAGTGTGACCTTTCATTTTTTCATCTGTGTTACTTGGAAAAATGGGGTTACACTTACAGATAAGGATAATGGTTTAATCTTTCCAGTAAGTATGACTAAAATAGGCAGAAGTACCTAGAAACTGGAAAAGTAACTATGGCTAAAGGTACACAGACATTTACAAAAATTATAACTTCAAACATTTAAATCACCTTTTTTTTTTTTTTTTTAAATTTAGTTACAAATTTGCCACCCTGAAAATTTGCTGCATTACTAACTACGATCCCACTTAGTAAATTGGTATAAATTAGTATAAAGACTGAGAATTTATATATTGAGATAATTGTTTTCTTCTATAGCAATTCTGCTAAATACAGCTGAGATTTATTACACACCTTATTGTTAAACAAAAGCCAAGTTTYAGGACACCCTCCCAGAGGTGGAAGYACAGTAGGAGCAAATCCTGAATAAGCTGAATTTTTCCTTTCACAGATAAATTTATTTCTCACACCACAATTTATATCTTTCCAAAGGCCTGTAAAGAATGGAAGACATATAATCATTGGAAAATTACAGAATACAGAGAAACTCTTGTACAACCACAGCAGCAGCCAGCCCCAAATAGCATTCATAAAGCACAAATGAAACACTTTTACCCAAATACACTCCTCCTTCTTCTGCAGTGTTTTTTCCTAAAAGTAMTGGCATAGTTTCAAATTTGAGCGTGTTATGAAAAAAATGCAGTATTGTTGAATTACCTCTTCACGAGGTAGCCTCAAATTTAGTATGTAAAAACCATTTTGAATATTGCTGCTAAATTTTAGCCAAATATTTCTTGCTGCTATTTTACTCACCAAAATCGTCCGACATTACCACACAGTTTTCATCATTATTTACGAAATTGGGTTCGTTTGGAGCCCAGGCAACATAACTCACTGGGGTGTCATCCAGCCATCTGGAAGAAACAAGGGGACAGTGGCTGCCAGACAGACATCTCAGCAATCTGTCACGAGGTCAGTTTGGGCAGAGGGCTCAGTGAGGTGTCAGCAGTGACCAGAGGGCAAAGGCTCTGCGTGTTCTGGGGAGAGCCACAGCACCACTGCTGCTTCTCATCTGCTCGTTATTGCCACATTCAAGGCCAGAGACGTGTCCTCCTGAAAGTCTTCTACAAACAAGTTGTTAAAACATGTTTCTTACCAGAAATTTCAGAAAGCTAGCTGTTGGGTGACTTGCTAATTACCCTTCTTTCTTCCAGCTCACATAACTTGAACCRTTTGCGATTAATTTAGTTTAACCCTTACATATACATTTTATCAAAACCTCCTTGACTTTCTCAGTAGTCACTGGAGACATGGTCAGAGTAAATCTCACCCTTAGGTCGATGTCAAAAGTGAATCAAGTAAATAATATCCTAAAATTACCTGCTTCTCCTCACTACTTATGCAGGGTTGCAGTTCTCTCAGTGTAAGAGACTGTGAACTGCATCCTAGCCTCGAATTTTTATTGGTTTTACTCTCCCAAATTTGGAAGAAAACTGCATTTCTCTGCTTAAACATAGAAGAATGTAACACTTCTGATCCCAGCCATATCCTGAAAACCATCCACAAGTCAGTTGCCCAACACTTTATAGCTTGTAAAACAAGAGTATACAGAACTGCTCCCTAAGAGTCTCATGAAATTACCACCATTTGTTGTCCATTACCAGTTTTCCTTTACTCACCTGAATCTCTGGTCAAAGCTGACAACTAAGCCAATGAAATATGATTCTCCTCCGCTTTTTGTGGAAATCTAAAATAAAAGTAATTAATAGGTAAGCACTAAACTATTCTTCAACTTCAAGCAAAAATCTGAAAGCCAATTACCCATGTCTATGATTTGTTTTGGGKTTTTTTTTTTCCGGTTGTTTTTCAGAATTTGAGCCTCAAGTGWGAATATTTTAGGTTCAGACTAAGGTTTCATGCACGCAACAGGGATATGTGGAACATCCTGGAGTGAGGAGCCCACTGGACAGGAATGCAATTATCACTGTGCTGAACACTACACATATTAGAAGAGATGARCAACCTGGGCCTGGATCCTTTTCTKCACCTTTGATATCTGCATGCCATTTTCCTCTGCTTATTAAAAACAAGAGCAATGTTTTTACAGGTCCTGAACAAATCTATTKCTCCTTACTAATATTTAGTGTGTTCCCTTTATTTTATCATCTGCTCTGCTTCAAAATTCAGCTATAATTAATGGGGTTTCTGCCTACATATTGCCACAGAAATCGTCTTTCTCTTTCTTTCTCAAGGACAACAAGATCTGCAAAGTTCTTCTGACAAGCTCTCCGTGCTTCCTCCATATGGGCTTGTGTTTCGCTGAAATAGTACTGCTTATTTTCGTATATAAGCCATCCATCTTTGCTGAGTTGAAAGTCTGAAAGAGAAAGAATCATATATTTGTTTCATATCAATACTTTCCTGTTGGTTCTGTACAAAGTCTGAAAACTATACAGTAATCTTTGTGAAAGAGAAAAATATCCTACCAAATTTGTCGTTTTCTTCAGGTTTTATCAGTGGAGCTGTAAAATAGGAAATTGTCATAAGCAATATTCCAAACACAGAAAAATATTTCAGACAGATTTGCTTCATGCAATTTCACATGCTTTGTAAAACAGAGGGATCATCCCCCCCTCCAAGCAAACTCTGTATTAGCTAAGCATTTTCAAGAATTTAGAGAACATACTGCCATTATGGGTATAATTCAGAAACACTTAGCTAGTGAAAAAACTGTATTTTACAATAATGTAGCTCCAAATGAACTGCATCAAACAATCCAGGATTCACAGTAAATTTGTGGTRGATTAAACAGACATTACTTTGAAAATTTATTTTAGTATTTTTGCTTGACACGCTATGATTAATTTTTTTAATATTTTTCAGTCTAGAATCAACCAACACAATCCACTATATTAAATTGCTAATATGAAGCATAATTTCCAATGTGTTTGTGAATTCTTCCTTGGCTTTTACTGGGACAGTCTATTTTTAAGAGTCCCAGAGAGTCAGCAGATATTAACCCCAAAGTTCTKATTACAGGTTGGACCAGCAGGAAGCAAAAAAGCTGTTGCTATTCCCAGAGCTGGCTGTAGCCTCTCAAAGTAATCTCTGCTTTCATTTGAATGCCTCTTATTTTGTATTTCTGGGCTACTAATTCTCTTAGCTTGCTCCATTTCTGCTGTGATTTGATAGAGAGAAAGACATTATTATAGAAATAACAGAAATAGTTTGATGAGTAATAAAAAAAAAGAAAGAAATATCAAGTAAAGTTACTTTGGGATCTTTTAAACACTTGCTTCTTAAGTGTTTAAGGAACAATGCAACTAAAATTATGTAAGTATCTTCATTATTAATTTACATACTTCAGATCATTTTGATTTTATTGTTTAATCCTAACATAACTGCAACATTCATTGTTTTCAGAAAGCTGAAGTATTTTCCATAAATATGCATCTTAAGTGAGCATGAAGGAATTAACATCTGAGCATGTCTTCTGTCATGTTGATCGTCACACAATCTAGATTCACAGTAACAAGATCAGTTTCTTGAATTTTTCTTGCTTTTGAAAGGTCATGTAGGATCAAGATAAACTGATCAGAGACTTTGCCTCGTGGTTTCTGAGCTCCTCCTGAGTAATCTCACCAAGAGCACAGAGCCACATGTGCACAGAGCAGCGTGCTCAGCGTGCCAGAAGGGACTGCACAGGATGTTCTGCTCCGAGCTGGTGTGCAGAAATCGGGGCTGGGATGGTGCATTTCTGTGACTCCTCTACCAAAAGGAAACAGTGCTTTCTTCCTTTTTGGTTAAGCAATTTTTCAGTGTTACCATGGCATCTTTTTCACCCTTCTAGGGTTTTCTTGGCAGAGTCAACAATTATTAGGTACACTCAGTGTTTTTATGTARCTGCTTACTCCTTCCCCTCCCTGTTGTGCCTCCTACTAGTTCCCTGTGTGCATCCCACTTCCTTCTCATTTCAAGAAGGCTGTAAAAATCYCCTTCTCTGTGGAGATGCATACAAATACTCAGTTTACAACCAGGAAGCAGGGATGTAGAACTGAGTAAGCAAAACAAATTCTTTCATCATCAGCTGTCAYTTGGGCTCTTCAGACCCCATTTCCATTTCCCACTGGTGGGCACCCCAATATCAGGTCCATTTTGTGATCCTGGCACCAGGTGTGGGAGTCTTGGCATTGGGGCCCTGCTTTCCAGGCAAAGCTGGAGGCTGCAGGAGTCCATCAAGATTACACCAGACTCTACTTTTGATCAGGTTATCAGAGCTGTTGGTTCTTATAGCAATTGATCCCTCTCTTGGTTCCCMCTATTTGTTTCACAGTTGGAAGCAAAGATTTTTCTCTTCTGCACTGAGAASTCTAGCATCCTGCATCTACAGCTAGCCTGAAGTAAGCCTGAAGCAGATAGAAACAGAGGGAAGAGATGAAAGGACAGGGGATAAGTATCTTTACTTTTCAAATTTACCCAACCCATGACARAAAGAGATAAAAACAGAGATAAAGTAATAGGAGCACTCTAACTTCCTGCATCCAAAGGCAAGCAAAATATCCCAATTCATTCCTCGTGCTGTATGCTGCTTTCACTGCAACCCGTTTTAAAATGAACAGTTCCCAGTATCTTTCTTTCTTTCAATTTGTTTAAATACATAAAATTTGTTTCTAAGCTCGGATTCATTGCTCCAATTAAATGGGGAAATAAGAATACCTTTTTTTGTTTCACAAATCCAATTAAGTAAATGYTCACAGCGCAAGTCATTCCAGCACATTTGGGGTGATCTGGTAAGCATAACACAGTGTTCGAGTTCTCTGCTGTTGTTGGGTTCATATTCTTCCCAGTTCTCATAAATTACCTGTGTTGGAAATACATACCAATTAATAGCAGTTATTGTGTGATTCCAGCTGAGCAGAAGTAACTGAGATTGTTATCATGACAATTTCAGTATCTCATTGTCACAAAGCACCTTTTTTATGGGATCAGTAGGAGTTCAAACAGACCTGAGGGGGCTGTGAAAGTCATGCTGGTCAGGTTACTTCCCCACCACTCCCTGAAGAAGGTGCAAGGACTACATGGTATAGAAAACCTTGTGTTTGATGAAAGAAAATCTGATGGGCAAAGGGAGTCACCCTGATCTTGTTTTGTGAAGAATGGCAAGGTGACTTCCCTGCACAGCCCCTTTTGGGATGCTGGGAAGGTCCAAGAGCACAGACTGTCAAATGTRGGATACAAAATGATATCAGTGTGAAACAGAGGCAGTTCTGTGTTAAGAGAGGGCACTGCAGCAATTCAGCTGCTGGATAAAGGGCTGCCATGCACCTGAGGAAGGTTTAAAGAGATGGGGAAAAAGGCATTTTTAAATATATATATATATATTACCCAAAAAGACAGAAAATCAATTAATATCCAGCAAATAAATACTCACGGGGGAGCCATCAATCCAGGCAAATTCTTTATCAGGATTTAAGAGAAACAAACCAATCCAGAAACCTTGAGTGTTCAGTCCTCTATCCCTAAAATAATTCATACAGTATAGATACATGAATGTAGAAAGAGGGGCCATGATATAAATCATGAAAAGCACAGAAACATGCTGCTTTCTGTCACACCTGAATTGGGAGCTGTGGCCCAAAGCCAAGCTCACCCCCTGCACTCTGTCAGGTGTTTGACAGTGCTTTGTGTTGGGCTGAGACTTTCCATATTTAAAAATATGTAAAAGGGGAAGTGATGTGGCACAGAGCCTTTACCAAAAGTAAAACATAAATAGATGTTTGTTTAACTAATAAAAAATCTAAAAAAATATATTTTCAACTGCTTTCATTTGCTTCTTGGCATTTCCYAAGTAGTTTATTTAATAGTTCATGCTGTTTATGTTGTCATGCYTATGGACCAAATAAAAGAATCCTCTTTCATTCACTGCATAACACAAACATTTCATACCCTAAAGCAAAGAGACTTAACAGTCAAATAAAATCCCATTCAGCTGATCCTAATTCTGAAATAGATTCAAAATTAAGAAGGATGAGATCCCAAAAACTTCTCCAYACATAAGTTTTAAATCTATTTGAGAAAGTAAACCTCAGTTCTCCACTATCTTAAACAGTTTTGGTTAAACAGCTGTATATTATGTGTCATTGACATGTCTTGACATTACAGAATAAAATCAGAATATTGGTAAATTTGGGGGGGGGGGAAATAATGTCATAGTTCATACATCATGAGCATGACATAGCATCTATAGTGCCACCAAAGGTTAATTSAAATGAATTTCACTTTGATTTCAGGAGTCTTCAGTTTGTACTCAGAAAAAATTCCACATTAAGCCCTTGAATTTTGGTTTACACTGCACAGTAAATCAAGGGATTTTTTGAATGAGTTGCTTAAAGTAAGGATTGCAGTTACAAAATGCCACTGTTAGGGCTGAATGTTTTATTTCCCCCTTTTAGAAGAGGGACTAAAATGTAAGAAGTTGATCTGATCTAGAGAACAGCCTCCCTAAAATCTGTGATGAAAATGTTAAAAATATTAAAGCCTCTTTGAAATACTCAGGTTTTTTTTTTTGGTTTTTGGGGTTTTTTTAAGTAATATTATAGGATGCAATTTCCAGAAGATTTTCCGACATAATTTAAAATTTGGTTGTTTTGGTTCTTACAAAATTTGGTTGTTTTGGTTCAGCTTGGGCATGTTTTAAGTAATTTTTATTTAACATAGCTGGAACATGAAAAAGAATTCTTATGCAAGTACTTACGATGCTAATCGCCATAAGAAAATTTGATCTTCTCTTGTATTGATTGAGATCAGATTTCCACCTAATTCTCTACAGAATTCTTCAGCCTCAAACCARGATTTCTTTTGGCTTCCCTCTCTCATAAAAAACTGTTGAGAACAAAAAGTAAAAATAAATTACTAAATTTTTAAAGCTTATAAAATATATTCAGTTAAAATCAGCATTCTTGAGTGAGACAACAAAACATATGTCCAATATCAAACATATGTCCTTAATATTAAACATTAGAAACAAGAAGTATAAATTCTTTTTTCTTAGAATAATTTATTTTAAGGCAAAAGTAGTATAGGCAYCTGAGGAGAACAAAAGGTATCAGATTTTACAGAAGAGAAAAAAATCAATCTATAACTTACTTGAAACTTTGACTACTGAAACATACAAAAAAAAAGATGGAAAAACTCAAATATGGCATTTTGCAGTAGAAAGCAGGAGATTTTTGAGAAAAGRAAGGTAAGTCAATAAGYTGGACTAGAAAAGATAATATGGRTGCAGAAAATCTRTTTGCCAAARTATGGACCTAACTGAGGAAGAGGKTTTTGTATTGTGCAAGCRCACAAATACAATATACATTTTCTGCCACAAAGAACATACATTTTTGGACTATGGGTATGTATCACAGGGCTAAATGTTTGACATTTTATGGAGAATATAATCAACATTTTGCTCAATGGCAGAACCAATAAAATGTTAATTACAYGTGACAGAGAAGCTCAGACCCTTGTAAATACAGGACTAAAATCGACTCTGACAGGCAGAGACTCTCAGGAAAGAGAGTGAGACCATACTTATACAAAGACATGAAGGAAAATGCTCCATATTTATTTTTTAATTGACCTATTAATTTTGTCTTTTCTTTCTTTTTTTTTTCCTCTTCAAAAAGAAGATCTTTTAAAGGCATTTTTAACTAAATCAAGGGAATGCTCAAAAGGTTTTCTTGCTGAAGAGTCACCAGCTAAACCCAGATCCAAAAGCACTGCTCTATCACATGCTGTGCGACAAAAGATTTTCAGAGGGGCACGTTTTCTCTCAGAAACATTGTCTTATGCAAGTGACACTGCTGGCTCTYGAGATACAATACTATGTTTGTTTTCTAAAGTTCCAGACTCCTGGAAGCAAATAAATAAATGCCYAGAACCTCACTGGGCATTTAGATAAGAGAAAGCAGATTTCTAGCACTCTAGAAATACRTGTCCATCATTTTCCATTGTTGAGTTTTGTTTTATTTGATGGATTTTTTTCCTCATGTTTTCTTGCCCCTGAACACCAAGGATATCATTCCCAGTAATGCTCCAGAGTCACGGTGATTGAGTCACTGTCCCCTGGGCTGCCCCATGCTCAGGCTCCCAGTGAAAGGGGACACACACTTACTTTGACACAAGAGTCTGCTCGGGGTGTTCTGTCCCAGCCTTCAGCACAGGTGACCACAGGGACCTGTCCTGGAGGAGCAGGAGGTGGCACTCCCTCTGCCCGCTGTTTGCAAAGGTAATTTGATGTCTTCTCACAGCTAACAACATCCCATAATCCAGCTGCAATTCCATTTCCCATGACAACACAGCCTTGCTCTTTCCCTATGTGATGTGGAAAAGAGATGGGTGAAACCAAAGCCTTAATTGCTGTCTCAAGAATGAGACCTTTGCTTTTATTCACAGAAAATTGCGAAAAGGAAGATGCAGATTATGCAGATTCATAAACATCCTGGATATAAAACTATTTGAATACCTCCTGTCAGAGGCCAGGCATGGGCCAATGACTCTCACAGACACAGCTTTGCCAAAATCAGAGATTTGCAGCTTCAGAAAACAAATCTTCCTTATCTTGCCACCCCAGGGAAATCACAGGGCAAWTGGCTCTTGATTATATTTACATGTGTAATAGATGACCTGACATCTACTTTGGAGTTCTCCTGGTAACTCAATTTCAAGAAGGCTGATATCAATCACAACAGATTTGTTTTAAGGCATAACTGGCTGTGTGAAGGCAAGGTCTCCCAGGTAGCTGCTAAACAGTATTGCAGAAATGCCAAAGAACTTCATGTTCACTGCTCATTTCTCACATATGCACATTGTGGATCAAAAGCCTGCCCAGAATAATTTTTCTGAATCTGATTAATTTTTGCTAACTGGTGTTTAAAATGGTGAAAAAAAGAGACCATGGACATTGTGAACTCCTGCCCAATATTTCCTTCAGTCTAACCAATCCAAATATGTGTCTTGGCAGAAGGCTGGCTTACACCAGCACCTGTAGCTCAACTGTGACAGCGGTGGCTCCACTGGTGTCACACACAGGTCTGATTGTGCTGGCCACCTGCAGCTATGGGCACAAAACACAGCTCCCATTCTCTTTTCTAACCAGGGGAGGGAAAGCAAAACTCACACAAACCTGTGKGAGTTGCAGCTGCCCTCCTGTCACAGGGGTTGGGCCCATGCAGAGCTTACCTGGCATTGCTGTGTTCCAGTGTGTGAAATGAGGAATTTCTCCATTGGTCCACCTGAAATTCCCTTGTTCCTCTGTGTCAGAGAGACCAATCCAGAAATATTTTTCAGACCTCAGCCCCGTCAGACTGATCAGAAAAGTTTGCTCATTTCTGCAGTGGGAAAGAGTGTTCATTCACAGGCCATTACCGTGCAATATTAATCCAAGTGATACAAACGGAGGTGCATTAACATGACCCCTGAACAACAGCCTCAGGGAAGTTCAGGAACAACCCTGGTAGGCTTTAAACTGCAATCAAAAGAACTTCATGAGGGACAACTTGCTCCTTTCAGCTGAAGGTRTCTAGAACCTCACAAATTGCTGCTCCCATGAACTTCTAGCTGAATTTTGCTGTTTTCATTGTCTTTCCAGATCCTTGAGGTGCCTCAAACAGAGCACCAAGACAGGACCAAGCTGTCAGCTTTGCTACCCATCACCTCTGATGAAGGCAGTCATGCTCCTCAGGGGCTGTGAAGCCTCTGAAGCCTGACTGGGATGTAGATGGGATAGAGATGATAAATTCTGGCTATGGGAAAGCCCAGGTCCTGGGCAAGATTTCCTACATGTATTTAGAATTTGTCTTAGAAGGTAGTTTAGGAAAATATTTTTATTAAAGTTTTCCTATCCTAATGAGAGATGACCTGTCAATAAGCAGGTGACAATTGTTTTGTCTACTTTCCAACAGGAAAAACCCCAACAAAGAAATAAGCCCAAAAATCCCAATCAATCAACCAACCAACCAAAAAAAAACCCCAAAGACCCCATAAAAACCAGCAGTTGCTTTAATTATGATTTGAAAGATAAGAGACAACTGTTTAACTCAAGAGCCCCCCCAGTGTGAAAATTGCTATAATAGATTAAGTAGATAGCCCTAAAACAGTGAGGTGTTTGTTTTGATAGTTGTTTTTTTCTGCATGGATAACCTTTGCATGCCTTGCTACTAGAAAGATTTTTTGAAAGTGATGATAAAACAGGGATATGCTCAAAAAATGAAGTTTTGCAAGTTGCTCCATTAAAAGCATTGATTTTTTTAAAAAGTAATTTTCCCACCTGCTTTCCACTGTAGCTAGATAAGCTTTGCTCTCTTCACATGTCTTATTTGCTTCTGAGAATGTCAGAAGTGCAGAACCCACCAAGTAACAGTGTAAATCATATCTTCTCCAACCCTGTGACAAACATAAGATTTTTAATGTGTAATGTAGAAAATTCTCTGCTCTTCTGAGTATCAATATTAAATGCTCTATTTGTTGCAGCTGAACTTAAAACCAAGATGACACTGGGCTGATCTGTAATAAATAAAAGTTGGTTTTTGCTGCTCTTTACTCCTTTTTTGTTTAAGGGATGAGAATAAGATCTTTGCTTTTTTCTCTTTTATGTGCACATGAGTTTTCAAAGAAAATTGTGACTGTGCTATTTGCTACTGCTTTTCAGCTCTGTAAGGATGGAATTACACAAATTGAGTCTGTAAGGAGCCTTGATTGATTCAGGGGGATCTGCAGTTCCCGCTTTCCAGAGCTGCACAGAGACATAATGAAATACAAAAATATTGCAATATGGAAAGGAATTCACAAACACAGCCCCCCAAAGCTGCSCCTCCATCCCCAAATGCAAAGGGTGAGGAGATTTTCTGAGCCAAGAGGAATCCAGACAGTGCTTGTTCTCAGGAAAAGYAGGAAATCAATAAAAACAACTCCACTTCTTCCTGCCCTTACAGAGAYCTCTTCTGACCAACACAGATGCAATGTTTTCTGAATCACAGGGTGGCTCATCTGGGAATGGAGGGCAAGGCAGTATTCACATACATGTTAATGAGCCTCAACTTCCTGGAGAATTTTCAGAACAAAAAAGAAAAATGCACATGTATTAGTAAATTGCTAGCAGGAAGAGACCAGATTGCCTCAAGAGTAGATTTTTCCTAAGATACAAGCACAGCATCCAAAAGAAGCAAGAAATAGTAAATTAATGCCTGTACATTTTTCTGAAGATTACTTATTTATGAGAGAGCAGTTACTTTCTGGCAGCCAGGGTCGTCAATTGTGTCTTTTTCTGAGGATTGTGGTGAAAGCTTCTTTTTGCAGATGTAACCAAGTTGCTTATTACAAGCATCAGTTGCCCAGTATCCATCCTAGAATAGCAGGAGAAGCAACAAATGTCAAGAAAAGGGCRCTCCTAAGCATAAGTAGTGTTTTTYCTCTSTTCACAAGGTCAGCTGGRTATTTATTAAAAAAATTAGACACATCTGTAAATACCAGCTTATGATCCATTTAATGCTCTTTTGAGGTGAAAGAAGGAAATTACCATTTTGCTGTCTCAGCATTACTTCCTACCATAACTTTTAAATGGAAGGGTTTGTAAAGATCTATCTCTTCTGGGACTAATGGATCTGCTTTTAGAGCAGGAATATTTCACTACACTTCTGGAAAAACGATGAATTAAAGTGAGCACATCTGATAGGATTGCAGTAAATCTAACTATTTTTTCCATCAAAGAATCTGAATATGACTAACTAATTAAAAAAAAAAACAAACCAAAAACAAAAAAATATTTAATAGGAATTTCCCCTCCCCCATCCCATGAAATCTGGTTTGGGATCAATTCTATTGGTGCCTAATACTGGCAAACATTAACATTATTCTGTGACATAAAAGTTCTCTCAATAACAGCATGTATTTTATACCAGCATTTTCAATTTGTTTCTTTCAAAACTCATGACACTTTTTGTGTGTGCCTGTGTGTATATTCACAGGCAGGTAAGTATATCAAACAACCATGACTTGCAAGAMAATTAATTTTGTGAGTTAAGCAGTCAGAAATACTATAGAGTTTTATGTTAGTTTTTATAGCTGAAGAAACATGCCCCAACACCAGGTCTCAGTGCCACTGAGGGACACAATGGTCTGACTGGAATATGGGATATACAAATAGCACCTAAGGTACCCACATAGGATATGAACTAATTCATACCCCTTGCTCTCCCAGAGCTTAAACTTTGCTGAAACCAAGGGAAAGAATTTCATGTAAAATTTCTGGATCAGACTTTTCATGCGACAAGGACATCTCTTTCTGATGTCTCCTGACCTCTGAACTTCTCTTCTGCTTGRTACCAAATTTTGGAGCAAAACCATTTCCAGATAATACAAAGAATGATACCTGACCAAGCACATAAGTGAGTGGTTTTGGGCTGGGGCAGTTATTAATTTGCAGCATTGCTGTAAAATGAGTGGATGTTGTACCTGCCCCTTCATGGCAGTGCAGTGGTCCAGATGGCTCCTGTAGGTGGGATGCCCGCGCTGCCACGTGGTGAATGTCACAGGAGTCCCRTCACTCCACTCAAAGTAGAATTGAGCCTTCAGGTCGTTCAGACCCAGCCACAGCTCGTCTGTTGGCTCTGGAGYAGGACAAGAGACAGGTTTGGTTACTGCCCMCTGTGCAGTGAACRTTTTCACATGAAGAACAAGYAGGGACTGATAAAGTTGKYGTGTGRCACACAAGAGGTGGTCTAYGTGCTTTCATAAAAATGCTGTTTCSTCTCAGATCTGTGTAAGATATGYRTARTGCAACACCACTAGATTCCATTAAGAAATGCTGATTTTAAAGAACATAAGGATTTTTACAGCTGGCAGAAGTTTTTTGCAAACTTTCTGTGATTCAGAACAACAAAATGGTGCAGAGCACAAAGACATGGAGTGGTTGTGAGTGTCCCACCTCTCAGGAGAYCATACTGAGTCTGAGCCATGAAATCACCTGCCAGCACATTAGAGGACTCGTGTTGTCCCATCAGGTGTGTTCACCATGGCCAGCATCTGTCAGGACTGGTTACTACAGATCCAGGGAGTATCAGAAATTAAAAGGTATTGYTTCCTTAGAGAGATACAGAGCAAGAGGTTAGCCTCAGCAAGAGGTTTGAATCTCAGCAAAAAGTTTATCTCTAGGTTTGTAGCTCAGTTCTAAAGTCTTTAACAAAGGTTATAGGTGTCAAAAGTGGAATCTTTAGAGATCATTATGTGTCTCTGGAAAGAATACCTATTTTATTGTTTTCTTCTCCTCCTTTATAATGTTTTATAATGTGTATTATTTCCTCATAAACATAGATACACTTCTATATTTATGCAACAGCAACAACGTGAGAGAGCATGACAACTTGGATCCAGCCTTTCACTTGTGACATTTCAGAGAAAGCATTAATATTTAATGTGAAGTTCAGTTTTTATGCTACAGATGGAGCAAACAGAATACAGGCCTACAGCTATACTCACTGTAACCAAGCTGTGACACCAGAAAGCTGTGTTCAGCAATGTTGTGGACGCTCGCCAAATCTCCACCTTGCTCTTTACATGAAGACAGAGCATCTTCCCATGTTTTGGGGTCCCGGTGAATGCTGTAGCAGTGACCTGCRTACGGCCACCAGCCATCTGTGCACTGAACAGGCTTCAACTCCCCTAAAATCAGAATACAGTTATTCAGAACAAGAGGGAAATAAAGGTCACTACAATGAGGTCTCTTGAGTACTCTTTACAAAAATGGGACCATATGAATAAACATAAAGCTGTAGCTGGCAATGCAAAATTTAATTCTAATTAAAAGCAAATATCATTAAGGCACATTATGCTAAACACGTAAACAGAATGAAGCCTCCTTAAACTAATAACCACTGAAAAACAACACTGAAAAATGCCCACATAGTGTCAGAAATGCAATTTGGAATAATGATCTGGGAGGAAAAAGAGACCAAAGCAGATATCAACCTATCCTCTCTTTGTCCCCTACAGCCACTCAGTCAGCGTCTCCTGGTCTCAGGCTGCCTGCGGTGGCTCACATTGGGCTTTGCCTCCTGGTCCATGGCTTTTGGCAAACAAACATGTTTTTTTTTTAAGTATGGAAAAGCATGAAAAGCATGAAGCAGTTCTTTTATAACTGCAGGTCAGTTATAAACCTTGTAAATCAGTGGAGGCTGTATATTCTCCCAGCGCCGTTTTCATAACTTAAATTCTTAGAAACATACCTTAATCTTGCTTTAAAAATAGAATCCTGCATTTCTTTTTACGGTTAATACTGGAATAAAGGTTCTCTGAAATGACTTCTCTACTTTCTTTAGTAGAATTTGTTCTTTAAAAGTAGTTTTTAATTACATTCCTGGAAGCCTCCAGTGGGCCCCTCCTGCGTGGGGCAGGGTCACAGCCGTGCTTGGTGTTTTGGGGGAACCACGGATGGAACAAAGTCTGCCCCAGTGCTGCTCCTGCTCAGCTCATGGGAACCCAATGCACTGCAAACTGCTGACATCAGAGGAGGTGGTTTTTTAAATGAATATATGAATAACTACAATTATTCATTTGGAGCAAATGAAAATAATATTCCTATCGTATTTATGCAAATTTGCCTTTTTGGTACTGGTTACCATGACAGTGCAGCCACTATCTCTCTTGCAAGAATGAATGATAGAGTGATGGAATAAAACAGGAATATTCACCTATGAATGTTTAATACATAAAGGGAGGAAAAAGGCAGCATAAAAATGTCTGTGTGGCACGTATATCTGTGGTTTTTTAAGTTTACAATATCTTGGTTGAAAAATAATGTTGCGTACAAGTTTCTGACTTYCTAGAAATCAGATAAAAAGCTTTGTTTTCACTTGACTAACTTACCTTTGGGCATAATGTCAGGCTTTGAACTGAAGGTTCCCTTCTTACAAATGTAGCCTAGTTTCTGGTTGCATGCTTGGTTTTCCCATTTAGCATTCTTTTTGGGATTCAACACTCCACAGATTTTCCCCGGAAATGGGAAAGGACTTCCTTTGAGTAAGAGAGAAAATAGAATCTCACAGCAAAAAAAATTAATACAAAGTATTAACATAAGCATTGTGTTACCAGTGGAAACATCTACTTTTTATGATCYCTTGAATCTTTAATAGGAAGAAGCCCTCCCCTACAGAATAATTGACTCGTAGTTTATAGGAGACTACCTTTAGCCAATGCATTGAGAGTGAAATAATGACCCTCCCTTGACTTTATTATCAAGATATACTGGGAAATTTCTAATTTTTTTCCTGACATCCTGATGCTCTCAGAAAGAACAGCTGAAACTGGACCCTTCTYTTGTGTCAAAAACTTCCAAACTTTAGAAATATTGAGTTTTAAATTATATTAACCTTCTAGTATATCTCAAGAGTTTCACAGTTGTGCTCTCCTGTGAAATAGGTTTTCTGTTTTCTGTTGCAGTGTGTACAAATCTCTGTAAGCAGCAAATAAATGTTCCTGATACAGAATTTTTGAAAACTTAGAGAAGAGTTTAATAATTCTTTTGACACCTTGTAAGTTTTCCAAAACAGGAGACTGTTTGGAATACTCATGGCACAAAACAAACACAGAAACAAAAAACTCCAAGAAGAAAAGAGAACTCSCTATGAACCAACCCACCCTGTCTCCCTTCCTGGAGTGGCCCAGAGCAATTTTGCTTACACTGTTGAGGAATTATAAACTGGCTTCCTAAACTTCTCAATAATATTTAGGATTTCTCCAAGCAACATAGTGCCATTGTCTGCTAAATATTTTGTTACTTTTGGAATACTTGATTTATATTTGCGCTCTTGGACAACATGTTATGGGAAATCCTGATTGTTGRTGTGTAGGGTTATGCACCACTCCAAATGCCACTCTGCTTTCATAAACAAGCTCTCTGTTTAAATAAGGAAATAGAATAATATGCTATAACAGATATCCACTGTGGACTTTGTAATTGGAAACTGTAATTTCTAAAGCAGTGATCTAGATCTTCAACAGCTGTAAATCAGAATGGGCTTTCCTGAAATAAAATTAAGTAGCATAGATTTATCAGTTTGTGTATTGTCAGAATTCATTCAAAGATTACAAAAGAGAAACAGATCTTACCTGGAACCCAGTTTAAATATCTGAAAGSGCTGCCCCCAGCCCACTGCCATCCACTGTTGAAATTCAAAGCATTCAATCCAATCCAGAMGGGAAAACGAAATTTTTTAGTTAGCTCTAAATTAGGAAAAAAAAAAAAATCTCTCAGTTGTATCTCTATTCTTATTCTTAGTGAGTTCATATAAAAGAAATTATCTGAAGTAAGAAATTAATATTTCTTAGTTTAAATCAGTCCCAAGCCAGTACTTTCTGGATTAATGACATGCACTAATTACAAAAAGTAAAATTTTGAAATTAATCTATATTGATTTAGCAGAGATCTTAGTAGGGCAAATTAACATCTTATTTCACTACTTGAAAATKACTTTATTTTTCTCACGTGAYTTCATTAGAACATAAAAAATGTAAMAAAGCCRTGATTTTCATTAGGGAATTATGCTAAAAGTTGTCAGTAACAGATCACATAGAGTAAAGAAAAGAAAATGTGTCAATAAGTTTTTTCCATTTTTTTTTCCACATGAGTTCTTTCAACACCTCCCTTACACTATTTGTAACCAAAAAGATACCATAGTACCTTTACCTGAAATCCAGTGGAGTTATTTGGAATTTACATATGCAAATGTACCATATATATTAGGACCAATCTCACCATCATCATGTGTTGTTTTGTTCTCTATCCTTTTACCTCCTACATATGCTTGCTCCTCAGTCTCTGTAATGCTCAGTAGTTCTGCATTTTGCTGCTGACATCTTTCCCTTGCTTGGTGCCATGTTAGAGCTGATTCTGAGTTTATCTGATAGTGAATGCCGGTTGAAACATCTTCTGTCCAAAATCTCTCTGTGTCATCTGGAATAAACAACATAGAGCACAGTTCTAGTGCATTCACATGTACCAACTAAAAGTAAGTAAAGTATGTAATAATGAAAAATCTCTAAAGGTGCCCACTATTAGTTGTCAGTATGAGAAAAAAAAATAAATCAATCTATGCATCAATTTAGAAAAATATTTATTTTTTAAATTAAAAATATTATTTTTCATTTCTGTGTTTTTAGAAAGGAGTGATTTTTTTTTTCCAGAAGTATTTGCTATTGAATTTTCCCATGCTCCAAATGCAATTTGAGGTAAAGCAGACATATCTATTGATGGAAAAGAAGAGATTCCAGGGTAAAGCAAGTGTGTAGGTAAACTATAACCCCTGGAGGCTCTTCATCCCTAATGGGTAGGAATTCCCTCTTAGCTCAACATCGAGAGAAGCAGTTTTTCCAAAAATAGTAGAACCTAGGCCTTGACAGTTTGAGAAGCAATAAAAGCAGTCTGTGTAGCACCRATGTGCAGCTCAGCTGCTGTCTTTGCAGAGCAACTCTCAAAACCTGCTGAAACTGCTGTGCTATTGGGAAAGCCATTGGTGAAACCAATGTTTGTGTCCTGAACTGGAGGGATCCAAATATCAGTTCAGGACAGAAGTCAGAACAAAGGTGGGAGAGAAAGATAATTTTCACAGCAGCATTTTTGTGTAGGCTGGCAATAAGAAACAAGAACAAGACAGAAAATTAAAGGGGGAAACCAAGAAAATAGCAGTTTAGGTGAAAATTGACCTACAAGAAAGGCCTGAGGAATGAAGAAAAATAGGAATTTTTTTGACAGGATGATGAATGTCTAAATAATAAGATAGATGTGTAAATTCACTCTGTTCATGTCATGCACTTCAGTCCCATAAAGTGAGGTATCAAAGAGCCTCTTCACCCCTCTGATTCACAAAGACAAACAGCCACCTCCAGCAGCTGAGTCAGAACCTGTGTGGGTTGAATCACTCTTTGGTGGCACCTCTTGCTCTCTATTCACTACAGAGAGAGCTCAGCCAAGTGGGACTTGTTCTCAGTCAGGGGATTTTCATTTGAGCTGCTCTGACACAGTCATGCAGGTGTGCAGCTGGTAGCTCATAAAGGACCTGGGGGCTCAAGAGATGATTTGCTCAACATCATTTCATGAAAAGTTAACAAATAAAAGGCAGGACTTACTTAGTGGGCAAAATCCATACAGTTTATCAGCATCAAAATCTGCAGTTGTTGCACACCAGAGCCAGCCATCTGACCTGCCAGCATCTGTGCACTCGTTGTACTGCTTGTCTTTGTATTTGAAAGGGAATACACAMGGCTGTCCATTGCCATTTCCTCGCAAAGTAAAAGTAACTAGGGGGGAAAAAGGTGTTAAGAGGACATAAAGATAATCATGAAATCATAAACCTAACTTTCTAGTATTGGATCTATCTGTCATATATTTGGCTATCTAAATTGAGAAGTTACAATCAATAGTTTCAATCATTTGAAATWAATTCAAATCATTTMRATTCAAATAGTTTCAATCATTTGAAATTAATTTTTATTATCATTTCCTTCTTAGTGTAGCTAGAGATTTTAAGTACAATGCTTTAGTAAAATGAGAGGTTTACTGTGTTTAGAATTTGATGTATATACACCCTGTAGGCAAGTCAGGTTCTGCGATGATAAATTGCTAATACATAGCGGTTCCTGAAGAGATAAAAACTACAAGTAGGACTCTAACAACAGTGAGTTCACTGCATTGGTTTTTTTTTACAGTTAAATAGGTTTGCTTTATTTATTTGATCACTCTGTCACATCCTTTATCAAATCTATTCCTTAACTGTTGAAAGAAAAAGGATAGTTGACCAGAGAGAATACAGAACAAGTTGTCATGAGCGTATTTACACAGTAAAAAATTTCAGGTTTCAGTTGCACATTTCTCCACTTGGAGAAATCTCACAGATTCACCCTGAACTAAGATTCTTTGATGTTATTAATGCTTCATATTTTTAAACTATCACAGAATAATGGGAGTGTTCTTTTATCTTGACATTTCTGATACAGACCCTCAATCTCACATTCATGCAAACTCATTCTTCCACTCAGTTCTCCACAYATTACTGCATTACCATTTCTCTCTACAGCTGTGCCCAGTAATAGATATACACCTTCAGAGTAGAGCTGTTCTTCTAATTTGGTGAGGCTGGAGGGGAGGAGCCTGTTCTTCCTTCTCATACCTCATGTGGTGGGGCAGAAAGAGAAACTCACACCATGAAAAAATGCAAACCCCTTGACTGATCACGCACCATGGCTGTGAGGAGGAGGGAAAATGGGAAGAGCTCCATGCTCCCTCATCTTTCATTTCCCTCCTGYACAGTGCCAYCTGATTTAATATTTCCACAGAAAKAAATTYCWGTTTAAGATCCTGCTCTTATTACCTCCATTTTCCCAACATGCATACACATCCCCTCTTTCATTCTGTGAATCAAGAACTGCCCAGGTACCCCACATACTCTTTAGATCATGTATCAAATCTGATAACAAATATAGACTAACCAATCTATGCATCAAAACTGTAAAGCTGACCAAGGTAAATAATTTTCATATTGGTTTAATACAAAACCAACAGACAAACTTACCTGATGACTGTAATGAACCATGCACGAGGGGAAGGAAAATTAGAAAACTGGAGAAATTCATTGCAAATGTAACTTGTTTCTCATTCTTCTACCAGAAACTGGACTAGGAGATAGGCAATATATAAAAATCCTTCTCTCTGTGGATAGTAACAGGTCCTTCTCTGTGTCAACAGGGTGATGGATAAAGCTCTGTACTCTAAATAAGGAAATGTCCTGTCACATGATATTTTGAAATAACTGCAGTGCACACTGTAAGCACTGTTTTCTTTTCTTTGTCCCTTTCAAAACCAAGGAAGTCTCCATCCTTKTAACTAGAGGTGGAGATATTTGTCTTCTTCTGTGATGTTGCTAATATTAATGCAGGTTAGTTGTTGATGTGCTATACAGGACAGACCTGGAAAAAGCAACTTGAGAACTGGGGACAAGAAACCTGCAGTAAAATACCATACCATCAATTAAAACCCTCAGTCTCTGATTTAACAAGACTTACATCTCAGAAACAAAAGGAGACAAAATCCCAGTGGTTCAGTACATTGCAATAATGTCACAGCACTACATAGCTAGAAGAATGAGAGCAAACTTCACAGGATCTGGAGGTTTTGGTGCATTTTAAGTTCTTGCTCACTTTGAGGCTGAATTTGCCTTTTTTTTCCTGCAGAGTCACACTCGTTTATTTGATACCAGTTTGTGGTGGGTCTGTTCAAAATTGCTTTTGTCAAAGATATGAAAAAAGTAAAGATGTTCAGCAATGTAGGCTAGTAGTAAGCTTCCCTTTAACAGAAGGGAAACTTTAATACTTTAATCTAGCAAAAGGATGTGTTCAYCTGTCCGAGAAATTCCTAATGAGGCTGTTCCAGGAAAAAGCCAAACACAAGTTAAATTGGAAAACCTCCTTTTAATCTGTGAGCAGAGTGTTTGTATGAAAACTTGTATTGGCATGGCATTTCTTGTACAATTATCCTGTAAAGTCATACTGGCAAATGTTTGCAAGTCCTAYTGTTCCTTCTGTTTATTTACATCAGTGACATTCAAAGAAGTTGTGATAACGAAATTGAAAAAATCAAGAAGTGAAACTGTCAGTAGTGAGATATATATGGAAGCTGAACAGTAGACGTCCTAGGAGGAGCAACTATTTTTCCTTTTATTTTTAAGGTGTTGGGGAAAATTATTGCAAGAACCAAACAAACTTGTTGACTTGGSTGTAGAAARTAGYAARAGAGAAAAAMAWWTYYKRAAAAAAAAAGTCTGGATTACAGTAGAAGTAGGAATTGAATGAATTGTTTAGGAATAACTTTTCTATTTGCAGGTGGCATTCAGGGAGGGTTTAGCATCAGAAAGACTCACAACAGTGGCTCTGTGTTGTAGACCTGAATGCTGCCGCAGGCACCAACGTGGTGGGACACAAATAGATATTGTGTTTCCTGAGTGAAATCATATTTCAGATACATCTAAAATAACAAAATGAAATAGCTCCAACAAAGGAAATACCAAGGGAAAATACAATAGGGAGGGCACCATTCCTGCCCAGTTCTTTGCCTCACAAAGTGCCTGCCTGGTTCAAACTGGGCTTTCTTCCCCGCCTTGTATAAACAGATGCTTGTGAGGATTCATCCATGGCTACAGTGATAGGGGAAGATTAGTGCAGACACTGGGATAGGCTAAGAGAGGAATTGAAGACTTCCAAGCTCCCTCTTTCACATGGCAAACCAGCTTCATSCTGGTTACAAACTTTTTGGGGTCAGTATCCTGTGTGCTGCACAGCACTTTGTGCAATAACCTGCTCAGCAGTGTCCTACATCCTTCTTTGTGTGTATACCAAGAAAAGTGGAGTTCATTGCCTTGGAAAAAAACTTAATTAGGGTTTTGGGGATTTTTTTGTTTGTTTGTTTGTTTGCTTGTTTGTTGTGTTTTGGGGTTGGTTTTTGTTTTGGTTTTTTTTTCAACTTTCTAACTTGCTCAACAGACACTGTGCAGCCTGGGGAAGGCAGGTTGTTTCCTAGGGATATCTGCTAAACACTTTCTCATAAAGTGTTTGGTGTCCTAATTGTGTTTGCAGCTCACTTAAACGCTAATTTGTAGTGCTGTTTACTGTTTTTCTGACATCTTAAACTTAGTCTCTTGCAGATTTCTAGTAGAGAACAATCTGTTGCATTCCTTAGTTTTCAGTTCCTTTTTCTTGCATTTCAAAATGGGAAGTTGGTGCTTATTCAAGCTGAATTCAAAAGTGGCAGGGACAGAAACCTCCCTTGTTATTGACRAAAGAGTTCTTGCACTGACAGGAGCAACTCCCTTCCCCTTTCCCCTCACTGGATTCACAGGGAATGCTGAAGCTGAAAATTGTACTAATAGATTTATTTATTTATTTGAAAGCATTAACAAAAAGAAGGAAGAATGTAAGGGCCAGAATATTTTAATTCATGTAAGTGAACATAATACAGTTAATAATAAAAATATTATTGAATTGAAAAATTATTACAACTTATACCTGGATTTAAYAGTCTTTGCTGACATGAACTGTGTTTTCCATAGCAGAAAATGAACATGAAAAGGTTATCTGAGATAAGTATACAAAGCAATTTTATAAGTGTAATAAAGAACAATAAAAGTGCTGGTCTGATTCAGTGAATTCACTGTGGGGTGAAATGAGTTCGAATTTGTAACAGAGTTAGACAGATTTTGGTTTTTGAGTTCTTTTCAGTATCCATAAAGTCACAGCAAGGCAGTTCTAATAGGCATTCATACTTTATTGGATATTAATTCTCACTAGTTGACTTTTATGTCTTTTTCAATATGTATATTTCCTTTTGAAAAGCTTTTTTTCACTACTGCTTGCTAAGAGAACATCTTGACCATTACAAAATTTTAACATCAAGCCATAATTCTGATTTTGTAAAATATGCATAATAAAAAAAAAAAAAAATCAGCTGGTGCAAAAAGAGAAAAGTGATTCAATTTAAAATTACACTAGATCTCATGTAAGATCTCACTASAGACTTTTAATACATCCTCTAATTTCAGTGAGTAACTTGCTGCTCCAAGTAACATGACACAGGATCCATTTTCACCAATTCTTCAGTCACCAACACATCATTTTAATAGTGTTTCATTGCCAGAATCTGTTGAGAGCTGRTTTTGTCTCTTTCTTTTGTAGAAATAGGCTGCCATGCCAGCTCCAAAAACAGTTAAAATTGCTAAGAATATGAGTGGCCAAACAGAGACGTGAACAGGTGGGTGAGTCTCTCCATTCTTTTCCTTGCCTGAAATGAATCCACATGACTGTGAGAAACCATAATTTTTAACTCCACATACAATATGAAAAACATGAAGGAGATGCTCTTTCCTGCCTGAACTTGAAGGTTGTAAATCTGAACCTTGAATTGTTGTTAATGAGCAGCCAGGTGTTTATTCCTAAAGTTAACATGGTTTTAGTGGATCTGGATTACAGTGACATACAGCACATGAAGTGGATGCTCATAAGGATTTAATGAAAATGTATTTGTGAATATGTGTATTTTAGATGGATATGAGATGCTAATTATTGGAAATCAGTTTTACAATATTTTTATGCTACATTATTTACAATAATATCTTTGGAAGAAATTGTCATATACACCCCCATGGCTTCCAACAGCCTTGGTAGTTGTTCCCAAAGTTCTTCTCAGGTTTGATCACTGCACTTTGTCAGCCCATGGTTGGTTCTGCAGCAGTCCCATTGGCCAGGCCCATGTGAGTGCTCCTGTGCATGTGAAAGGCACTTTGGGATTACCCTGAGTGATTGATAACTGTGCAACCCTCACTAGGACTYGTTCTCTAAAAGAGGCTGATTTGGGAAAATTCCTTTCAAGTTCTTTTATTTCTATTTTTTTTTTTAATTTTTCTTATGAAAGCTCTTACCTTTTTGCTGTATAGGGCTCCCATTCGGCTCAACTTCAATGAATATCAGAGAGAAAGGATATAACACTATTAGAATCCATAAGTTTKACTGTTTTGCAAAAATAGTACAGGAACAAAACCCCCTGAAATACTATCATTGCTTGAATAACATATATATCTGCTATAAAAGGCAACAAAGTGAGGCAAAAATACTTTGCAAAGCTTTTASCTTCCTGTTTAACATCACCTTATCCATTCTTTTAAAACTTTAGATTGTTTTTATATTACCAACATTAAAATGCTGACTCTTTTCTATATTCATTCATAATACCTTTTCACATTTTTTTCCTGAAATGTTAATTTTAATATACTAAGAACATGATGTACCACTCTGGAAATTAGTTTTACAAGGCATATTTTGGGAAGATCTGCATTTCTAGTTGTTACAAAATTTTTGATTCTCAAATGTATTCCCAAGAAATTGCTTTCTATTTCACAGGAGTAATGTTCCTATTCACCTCTATGTAAGATAGAGACAGAGAAAAATAAGACCTTCATAAATTTTTTTTSTTGTTGAAGAAGTATAAAAAAATAGTTTGGCACTCAGAAAGTAAGGATTATACATGTGGAACTGGAGATTTCTAAATTATCATGAAAATATTTCTCCTCTTGGCCTCCTTACATTACAATTTGCAAGCACTTTTGATAACCAGAGAAGAATTTATAAARGCAAACTATAGAAAGTCAGAATCCAAAATGAATAGGTACCAATCAATGGATGGACTTTAGAGATTCTTTATTATTTTTGTACTATGCAAGATGGAATGSAATCTGGATGTATTTAGTAAGTCTTTAACAGGGATTAACTGATTTATTGTCCATGGGCACATGCTGATTTAAGCACAGAAATTAACAGTGCATGTGAGAACACTGTTTCTTGGTTACGTTTCAGGGCTTTTTCCTAAAGAATGACTACTTAGAAAATGAGTAATAATAACCCCAAATTTTCAGTTATTTTTTCACCACCAAMCATGTCTTGAGGTTTCTTCAGTGTTGAAATCAGGTTCTTTCAACTTTTCATCAGAATAATGGAATCTTAAACCTGACTTTACAGCCAGCCTTTATTTGAGATTTTCAACATAAAATAGAGGGATTTCCCATGATTTATAGGGAGCAACGCACAATGCAAAAGCTGGAAAATTAAACCTAATCTTTCAGCTACTACAAAACAAAGTGCAAAGGGTTAATGATGGGTACCTACTATTATTTTTTTTTTGTAAGATAGATCGATTTTTAACATGCAAGATAGAAGAATCAAGTTATAGCACTTTCTTTCAGACTATTTCCTTTGTATCTCCATTTAGGAATACTCCATGTGTTGTTTTACCTCTGAGGCACTAGTCTGGTGTATACAGTATTGCATGAAATTTTCCAGAAATGCTGATCAGACAGGTTCTGTAATTAACTGAAGTTTTCATTTAAAAGGGAAGTGTTCCTCATATTATTATTGCAATTTAAACATATGACCTTTTAGAATCCCTGCGACATCTCTGACTTATAGATTGTTGAATCAGGGCCAATATGAAACCAGTTTAGGACACTGGGAATAAAATTTTTGAGAATAACAGGCTGGAAGAGGAAGGTTGACTATTCACATTGATTCCTCCTTGCAAGTGTACAATAACTGTTACAATACTTAGTTCTTGGAATAGTCATACCCAAGCACAGGTGTTTGGCAGGTGCCATGTCAATGCCTGTGTTAGGTTTAAAAAGTTTCTGAAAGTTTCATTCTCAACCTAGGCTGTGCAGGATGTTACCCTATTTCCATGTGACTGCAGACAGTGATGTGAGGGGCTTGCAGTCTGCAAAAACAGGCAACTACAAATGGCTAGAGAAGTGGGATATGCCAAACAAAACTGCCAGAARTTACTCCCAGACCTGTGGAGAAGGGCTTTGAGGGTTACTGTCAAACAGATCTACCCTGTTACTAATGGCTGACTCACTGAGGACTCACCTTTGGGTTTTTTGCAGATAAATCCTTTTTCAGAAGAGCAGTCACTCTTGTCCCAGTAACCAGATGGTGCAGTTATTTCAACGCACTGATGCTCCACATCAAAATCTTTCTCCTCCCAGTTTACAAAATCCAGTACAGCATTATCTAGCCACAACCACTGGCCTACAAAGCAGCAAGAAGAGTGAAAAAAAAATAAAACATATCTATCTCATTAATATTTTAACTCCTCAGCTCAGCAATTTAATTTAAAAATCTACAGTAAGGTGCTTTTCAGCAGAAACCCATGTTTCTTTCATTAACTACAGTAATCCTCAATTTTCTTGTATTAACAAAGCATTATTCCACTACAAATTGAAAGTAAGACATACCTTCCACATTTCGGTAAAGTCCTATCCAAAAGCCTCCTACTTTATTTCCAAGTGGYTGAATTTTATGGGTCAGAAAATGAGATTCATCCATGTTTTCTACCGAAACCAAGGTAGCACCTGAAAGGCATWAATAAGCAAATAACCATAATCTGTGTGAGCAACCACTGGAATGRCCTCCTCTTTCTAGTGTGTCTAAACAATAGTTTAGCAGTATTAATGCTGCTCTGTTGSTCTCTCTGTTGGTCTCTCTGCTGCTTCTTGCAGAAGCCAATGACCTGGAGATCCTTAGAGGCTGTGTCCCCCTGCTGCTGCCCCCAGGATGATATCCCAGAAACCAGGAATTGATGGGGAACTCCATACACAGGCAAGCTGCAGACCTGAGAAGATAGCAGGCTGCACAAACCCCCTCATGTCAGCTTATTTTCATTTTGCCAGCCTCAGAACAGCTTAGTAGGTATGAATTTTTACTTTTTTAAAAAGYAATATTTTTATGCRAGTTTTAAATAAATCTTGGTACAAATCTTGTTAGTTGATAGTGAAGGCTCTCACCTAAGCGAGAACACTCAAGGGTGGCCTGTGTCCAGCTTTTCTCAGCTGATGATTCAAGGTAGTAGCAGTGATCATGGTAAGGGATCCAAGCTTGCAGTTCATCTCCTTCAGGACAATTTCCAGGTGGCTGAGCAGGGTCAGTAGGAGCTGTCTCTAAAGAAGCCATGTGTGTGTGAAATTGTTATTGCATTATGAGTCACCTGTGATCCTATGATATCTGTGTAAACAGTGTGGAGTTTCCTTCATCTAGGTTTAGCTATACCTTCTCCTGACATTTCCCAAACATGGGGTGCCAAGTAGTCAAAAGCGTGAAATGTCTTTTTCTCAGATCACATTTCATAGAAGGCATCAAATTGCATCCTGCAGCATTTAGCTATCTGCCTTGGTAGTGCTGTGAGGAAAGCAAACACTGAGGGATGGTATAAACCTCAAATTTGCATTATCACAACACAGAAAGCAGTTTTAGGCTAATGAGTCATTAATGCCACATTCCCATGTTGCCTGGCTGCCTGGTCTCTTCATGTTGTCACTTTAGAAAAAAAACAAAAAGCCATTAGTGGAGCATCCTCTGCCAGATCAGACTCTGTTTCTGATGCAACTCCAATTCACTTTGATGGAACTCTGGAGTTGCAACTCTGGTGCAACTCCAATTCACTTTGATGGATCTGTAGTTCTTGCACTGCATAAGCAGACCAAATATATGGCTGGAAACTTCAACTCAGAGGACAGTTTTGAGTTGAAAAACCTGCTGTGAGTCACATCAACAACAGACTAGATTATGCAGCCTTAAAACCTAAAGCAGGGAAAATATCACGATTCTACAAAATCCAGGTGCAAAAGTGTCTCTGAATATATCTTCCAAGAGTTAAAATATCATTCACATTCCCAAGGCTCTTACACCTACAYTGGAACAGTTTTAGCTCTAGGAATAGAGAATGGAAGTGAAACTGCAGCCTGTATTTTGGCTCAGTGACACGTGTGTTTGCTTCCCCAGCTGCAGTCCACACAGTCAGTGCACAATCCCTGCTCTTCCTTATATTGCACTCGTGTGATTTATGGCCACACTTTGGAAAGAGCAAGATATACCTTGAAGACAGAGCTTCATCTTCTGGAAAGTTTAACCATGAAAKAAATGCAGCCATATCCATTTACACRAGAGCCTTTCCTGTGCCTAAATTCRTCCATCATCCAATAGCAAACATCCATATTCTGCTGGAAGGCAAGTGCTACCCTGAAGCATGTCCTCTGTAGGAGTGGCCCAAGCTAGAGCAAAGTCTTTAGGATAGGCAGACCCATGGAATTAGGAATGTGTCTTTAAAATTGTTCCATGCCCTTGCTTACCATCTGATATCATGCAAACTGAAAAGTAGCTTTCATTGCAAGACGCTGTTTTCCAAGTACTGTCAAGATCCAGGTAAATACAGGCATTGTTGTCCTTAGGTTCCCCTGCTGCCCATTTTGTGTACCTGGTTTTCCAGTTATTGGTCCATTTGTAATAACCACCAGTCTGAAAGCAAAGAAATTCTGGTAAGAGTTGTCTGGTTTTTTTTAGCATAAAATCTTCTGTCAGATAAATATAGTGCAAATATAACCCTACGTCTATTTGACTTTTTTTCAGAAAAAAAGGCCCCATTTTTCAAATCCTATTCATTGTTCTAAGCAATGTCACTGGGAAATTCAAGTTACAGAAGAACTGTATATGAGATATKAGCAATGTTCAACACTGTATTGCTTTTGGGAGGGTTTTTCTGAATTAAAAAACTTCTTTAACATGGCAAGAAAGTCAAATGAGGCTGCCTTAGGTCATTTAGTAAATCCTATATCAAGAGAAGCAATTACAGAGAATTTGTCCCTCTGCTCTGCTTTATTTAAATTAAAATTGGGAGGTATTTATGTACAAAGATTACTTGCCATTAAGCATTAAACAGTCAGCTTAAATCTTAAAATATCTCCCTAATACTCCCAGTAACTTTTATTAATATAATAATAGCTCTTATTATCTCCTTGTATAGCAGGGCATTTGACTTTCAGGGTGGCCAACAGCCACTTCATGACAGCTGCACTTTCTGGCTTGTGACTCTCAGTGTGTGCCTTGGCTTCTACTTTTTCTAGAATTTTCTGCTTTCACCTMTTTCTTCTTGGGTAAACTTTTGTGTGATTCTTCACTCCACTTGGAGGATGGAAATCTTGGACAAATTTTAACAGGAGCACTACATTTTTATGTATTTATATAGTGAAGCCATGTACAACATACAGTTGTTCCAGCACTGATATAAACAGGCCATCCAAAGGGCTATCAGAGCAGGAGAATCCCTGAGCCCCTTCACTTCCCATCTATCCAGCACTTACCATATTGCCATTAAGACCAATCCATATGGGTTTTCCATATTTCAGCATCTGGATCCACAAGAATGAATGGATGTAGGCATCTGAAATGCTGGCAAGTTCCGCAGATTTGTCTTGACAGTTTTTTCTGGCCTCTTCCCATTGCATTTCAGATGAAATGATTGAATAGCTGCTGTCACCATAAGGCACAAAGCCAGAGGCTGGATTTGTTGTTGGTACTTCRGGCTGTGAGGGAACTATGGAGGAAAAACTGAATGCATTAATTTATAGCTTATTGCTCTTTTCTAGCACAGAAGCTATAAAAAAATAGGTCAAAAGCTCCAGTCAATAAGTCAAAATCTATTTTTAAGCTCAYRAACAAAACAAAACAAAAAAAAAAMCAAAATAAAGCACAAATAATAAATAATCTCCCCCCAAAAGGCACCAAAACTAACTTTCAAAACATGAAGTAAATTTGTAATGCAATAAGCTGATTGAAGTACTGGATGCCCTGAAGTAGAGTATACATGCTATAGACATGACTGGTCCAGACTGGGACTCCTAAATTGGATATTTCAGAACCGGTGTTTTAACTTATTTGACTAAATTGAAAAATCTTAGTATACACCTATTTCAGACCAATGGGGAGAGGATTTAGGACAAGGCATTTAAGGCATGAACTGTTGTACTCTRCTCTCAACCTGAGACTTTGATACTTGATGCTAATTGATTACCAAGTTGTTGGCCAATCTGTGAGGGCTGCCAGAAGGCTGCCTGCATGTCTGAGTCAGGCAGTGTGTACTTCCATCCTTGAGTGTCTAAATATATTCAGAAGAGCTGGAATTGGGATCAAGCAAATTAAAAATGCCTCAATAAAACTATGTTTGCTGTGTAGGGAGAGGGTCTTCCTACAAGCAAGTTACCAGTGCTGAGAGGGAACAGGCTGCAGGGGCTGACTGAAGTGAGGGGTCAAGGAATAATTTTGAGTTTAACAAAGTTGAGGCCAAAATGTTTTGCTATATGTGCTTTGTCTTCTCTATTCCTATTATGTGGTTGGGCAGCTGGAATTTGTGTAATTAAAGTCCTACAGGAGAAGAGTCAACATTCATTACTCATTTTGGGGAAAAAAACCCCCAATATTCTTCTACAATAAAGACATGTACAAGAAGCTGTACATTTTGATTGACATCATATGGCATTCAGTAAAAATACTGAGAGAGGATTAAATGCTCTGCTCAGGGACATCCAGGAGAATGGAAAGATCTCTGCAAGAAATTGATTTACACTGCATTTAAGGATGATGCCTAAACCCCTCACTTCRCTGAGAGAAAATCCATTTTCATGTATTATTCTCTCATATTAGTCATGATTAGGTACAAAWTCCCAATTAAGACAGTGGTTCCTCTTCAGCAATTTCTGTGAAACAAATTGTTCTTTAAACCTAGCACCGGCTTCATCCTGATGGAGCTCTGAAAACCTGAGAGACTCAGAGTGAGGCTCAAAGCTGGAGGAAATCACATCAGTTTAGGTATTGAGCTTTTCTAACCAAGACACACTTTCTTTTTGGGAGGTTGGGTTGGAACTCACGTGAATTCATCTGGCACACATAGCCTCTTTCATTGTCACAGCTATCATCCTTCCACTTCCCATCTGACTTCATGATGGAGACACAATCTGTCTGAAGAAGAGGGGAAGAGGCACAGCCATTACAAAAGGCAGTGAATTACAAAAGGTGGTGAGAGGGAGCTCCTGTGCTGCTGGTGCTGGCCTGATGGCMGGGAGGGGAGGAGCTCATTGAACRCCTTTGGTTCAATTAGTGCAATTAGTTCGAATTTCCCAGGTTTCTGCCAAGCAGCTTGACCTGCTGTTTATTAGTGACCCCTTGAATTTGAAGCAGGCTTCCACTGGTGCCAGTTCAGGCCAAAGAAGTCAATCAAAACCATTTTTACCAGCTTTGATAAGATCCCTTTAATGACTGTAGAAAGGACTAAGCTACCTATAATAAATCTCAGTTCTAATTTACAGTTATGTAGATCCGCYTTGAAACATTTTCATCATGAGAAAAACAATATAAGCACTATTAAAAGCACTAGTCTAACTGAACCACACTCTTGCAGAAAGCTGACACTGCTGGTTTTTTTGGCAACATCATCAAGTTATCATTATCAGATGCCTTTAACAAACAAAAAAAATTCTCTTTACTTCCTTATGTTTAATTGCTCAAATATTTCCTTCATGATTCCCCTGATTACAAGACTGGCCATAGCAGTCTTTCAGCATTTCATCCAAGTTTCTCCTTGATGCTGATTTAAATAGGTTRTAGTCATCAGCAAACTGACTGATGGTAGATGTTAAAAATCTTGGGTGACTAACTGCCAGTCATTTCCTTAGAAATCACCACCTTTGGAAAAGAGATTGAATTTCAGCAGAGAAATAGTAACTTCATTGAAGATATTAATTTGTACTATCAGAAATGAGTAAAGTGGTGGGGGAGCACATTAGCCAAGAGTGGGACTTAGACAAATTATTGTTGCATCAACAATCTTAATTTTGCCTTATCAGACTTCTGTGCTTGGTGCTGCAGCTTTAGCAATTGTAGTAATGCAGTTTGTGGGGGTCTGATGTAATAAAAGCTTTTCCAAGCTTCTTTTAGAGAACTGGTCTTTTGCAGTAGTTCAGATGGAAGGCACAAAAACCCTCTTCTACAGAACTTTTGTCAAACATTTGGGTGTATTTGAAATTGTTATCAGATGATTTGCTGTACCTCATCMTGCTCACAAAAGGACTTGTTTCAGCATCCTATTATTGCTCCTGTAACTTTTCTTTTAGGAAAATCACCTAGCTGCCTAAGATATACAGGTTACCTAAATTTTCTGTACCTCCAGAGGATCATCTGCCAGYTCCTGAAAGTCATAAAAGTCAAAGTAGGTTTGTCGCCCTTCTGGTGCACCATGAGCCCAGTTGGTGTAGGAAACAGTGCTTCCATCCGTCCAAAGGAATGTGGACTCTTGGTTGATATCATTCATCCCAATCCAAACATTAGTTGTGGCGTACTTCAAATGATAGAAAAGGAAAGCTGGAGGAAAGCAAAGGTTTCTCGTTAAGAAAAGCTCATCATGACATGCCCAAAACAAGGAAAATGTGCAAAAGCMAAGAACGGGAGCCATAATAGATAACATTTTCCACTACAGAGAGCATTTGCCTTTAATTAAATGTTTAGATAAGTATCCCTTCCCCACTGTGTGTGCACAGAGTTTTTCAGCAAATCCCATTGTCAGTGAGAGAGACAGAAAATACAGTCAGTATGAGAGATCTGTGCAACCACACTCAAAACTGGAAGTTTCATGAAAACAAAGAAACTGAAAAAACTAGAATCACATTTTATTTCTTATATGTAATAATTTTAGCTATTGCTTTGCACTTTGAAGTTAAAATAAACCATGGACTGACCTGGCTAATAAGCAATTTTCACCAATTAATAACATATTCTATATTGGAAATTATAGCAGGTTTTTTTTTGTGAGAAATTAAGATTTTTTTACTTTTACTAGAGCTCATGCACATACCTTGCACTCGTTCATTTGGTATAGTAGCCAGGTTTCCTCCCARTTTGAAACAAACATCTCGTGCAGCATGCCATGTGAGATTTCTTGTTACATTGGAAGCAAATACTTTGAAACACTGGAAACAAATCAAGCACTTTTTTCAAACTAGAGAAGATTGGCACTATTGTATGTGACTAATATCAATTAGCTCTAGGATGTACTTTKCTGCAGAAAAAGAAATCAGGGCCAGAATAAGTGACAGCTCAAGGGTAGAAAGTATATACCAGGCAGACACTTAGCACCCCTTATGGCACAAGGTGTAATCCAGGAGTCTGATATCAAATGAACTGATTCTAATGAGGTCAAGTAATAATCWCTTTTCACATTTTCATCTGCCTTCTTCCTGCAATAATAGAGGCATCATTTGAAACCAAGAAAATGTGGCTCTGGGTGATAGAGCTGCAGGGAGTGATCTCCACTGTGCTGCAGGGAGTAATCTCCTGCTTCCAGTGACTGTGGTTACAAGTGTTCATCCTGCCAAAGGGTGTGAAATATCCTCTGGCACATTGACCTAACATTCTGAAGGCACAATAGCAGCCCAGTGTAGGTAAAGTAGACAAAATAACCTTGGTAGATRGACTTCGACTCAAATTGGTACAAACTTTTCTGTTACAGCAACAAGGACTTCCAGACCGTGTCTTACTGCAAAACTATACTCAAAATAATTGTAGCTTGGCATAATTTTTCTGATCTCAAAGCTTTGTGAAYCCTGCTCTTTTCAGTTTCACTGCTTTACACAATTTACTGAAGATAC